AAGGATCTTGTATATCGGGACAAAACTCTCACAATACCAGGCTGATGTAGTGCTCTAACCGTAGTGCTGCTCTTTGTCTATCTCTTATAAAGATACAAGGTACTCACTATATATCTTCAATTAAGATTAATTTGTTAGCGAAGTTAATCTGGAGAAGCTTTGATGATAGTTACTAGTACCTCGAAAATGAATTATGATATCGACATGGAAATTTGGGTATGGACTAGGAGAGCATTGAAAAATTAGTCACTCAAATTTGAAAGAAATGCGTTTAATTCTTTGCGAACTTCAACTCAGCTAGACGTTTTTGCAAGAAGGCGTCGTCCCAACATTTTGTTTCTCATAGACGATCCCAGGCCCGCATCCCACACAGTGCGCTTTCCTTCATAAATTGATAAGGATTTTGTATATCCGGACAAAACTTACACAATACCTGGCTGATATACTGATCTGGCTGTGTTGTTAATAGATTTTCTCTCCTTCATCCTTTGTGAAAATATAGAGCGTCCAAGTGTCTTGTCTAGTGAGGCGAACATGTAGGGCCAAGGTCGTCGATACCTACAACATTTCAGAGCCACATAGATCACGTAAAAATCAACACAGGTACACTATATATTGAACCTGGATAGCCTACGATACTATGTGACTTTAAACACAGTAACTTCGACCGTATCCCAAACCGTTCCTTAATAATTAGACGAAAACCCGTTAGAACGTGCCCTAGCGGTTTTTGTAAAAAGTGCAGCAATTAGATATTTGGGAAGATTTCAGGCAATTTTTGAAAAAAATTGACCAATAATCACGTAAGACGCTCATCTTTGGTTAATCTTGCCATGTCCATCTTTTATATTAGTAGTAACACTTTAAAAATAAATGCGAGATGTGGGTAAACTGCAGCAAATCAACATTTCTTTTTAAGAGACTGTGCAAGGGGGGCCCCAGCCCAGAAGAGAACAAGAAATAGCCATGCCTTCAAATACCAGAGTTATCAACCAAGGATTGAGGTATTCAAGAATTCATTCTTTCCTAGCTATCGCAGAGTGGAACCAAGTACAGTAGCTATAGGGGCATTGTCACTAGCTAGCTTTAAACAAAGTCTAGAGTTAGATATAGATGCTCAAGGGTTAGGTGTAACAAGTCGATCGGTGTAATGTAGCCAGCTGCCG